TGTCTTTTTTTAAAGCAGGTCTGGTAAACTTAACATTAATTGTTGATTCATTACAGTATTCAGGACTAGCATTCTTTAAATTTCCGGAACAATAATTTGATATCAGAAGTGAATGGAACTAAAGATGCAATGCAGTACAATGGAATGATTATTGAGCATTAGGGACAGGACAGCCTTATGAAACCATTCATGGACTAGTCTACAGTAAATCACTGTTTTCAAACACTTGCTTATTGGTGACCATCAAGGCAGGGAGATGCTTTCGTATTGTCTGAAATGGATTCAAATTTATTTTATTTCCTTCACAAGATATTCAGAGTTGTATGTCTTATTCTCATTTCAGCTTATTTAAGCTTGTTCAACTTTTGTTTACTCGCTGAGTATAAGTCTCAAATGCCTTTGTGCTTCCAAATTCTTTTCTAATCCCAAGAGGCTTGTTTGTCACTGAACATTTTGCCTGTGATTCTCAGAACTTCAATCTGGGTATGAGGCTATGTGTGGCATTGTGTGTGTGGGGGGGCAGAGGGTGGGAATTAGTATTGATTCTTTTCATCTAAACCTGTTATGCTTTTAAATTGAAATAAGAACATGGGTAAATTTGATTTCTCCCTCTGTTCCTACCTCCATTTTCCCCAAGAATCCTTTCCTAGGCTTCATTTCTCCATGGCATTCATAGGCTCATAAATTTAGAGCAGACAGATCTTGGAGGTCAACTAGCTCAACTCTATCCTTTTGCAGATGAGGAAATAGAGACTCAGAGTGTCCTACATCACATATATAGTGAATGAGAGAGCTGGGATTTGAACCCAGACACTCTGAAACTTAAATCTAGTGCTTTCCCCATTGTAACAGAAAAAAAAATTTCCAAATAAGATAACTTTCATTTGCTATAAATTAATACACCTATTCTCAATGATATTGCACTTGTACATAAAGAGTCATTGCCATCCAAATTTTAAAAAAGAAACAAACCAAAAAACCAGCAATTTATAGTGGCAAAAGTTTAGTCTTAATCCCCAGCTCTACTACTTATTCCTTGTGCCATTTCACTTCTCTTAGCCTCAGTTTCTTCATTTGTAAAATGTGGAAATTGGACTAGGTGACATCTAATAGGGTCCCTTAAGTTGTAATCAGTCAATCAACAAGCATTGATTAAAACCTTTCTATTTGCCGGGAACCATGCTTAGGGCCAGGGGAAACAGATACAATGACCTCAAGTAGCTATGTTCTGAAGGAGAGACAATACTCACATAAATACGTACATACAAATGCTAATAGAATGAATGGAAAGTAACTCTAGAGGGAAAGAAAGACACTAGCAACTGAGGGAAGAAAGGATGGGGGTGGAGGAGACTTCCTGAAATGTGGAGCTCGAGCTGAGACTGGAAGATGAGGATTTTATGAGGTGAAGGGAGGGAGGAAGGTAGCAATGGGCATGGGAGGCAGCTAGTGCCAAGTCAAGAGAATTGGAGATGGGGACTGGAGATGGGGCACAGCATTTCATGTGAGGAACAAGTAGTCCAGTAGGACTAGTCCATTGAGTGTGTGAAGAGTAAAGTGTGAGAAGACTGAAAAGGTAAGAAAGGGACAGGCTAAGAATTTTAAGTGCCAAACAGAGGAGTTTATATTGATCCTTAAGATAATAGACAAGTTATTGGAGTTTATTGAGTTGGGGGTGACAAGGTCAAACTCAGGCTTTAGGAAAATCATTGGGAAGCTGTGTGGAGTATGGATTGGAGTGGGGAGAGACTAGAGGCAGGGAGGCCAATTAGTAGACTATTGCAATAGTCCAAATAACTTAATGAAGGCATGAACTTGGGTGTTGGCTGTATATGGAGAGAATGGAACATGTTGTGGAGAAAAAAAAATTCTCAGGTATTCTTGACTTCACCTAAATATTTTTGCAATTGAATTGGATCCTTAGCTAAGGAATAGGTAAGGGAGGTGGAGGGAGAGGGGGACTGAGAGCATTATAGACATCAAAGGCTTTTGAGGGAAAGAAGGTGAAGAGGAGGCACATTTAATGAAAAGTTAAAAGCAACCTGGGACTTGTGGGAGAAAGAAGTGGGAAATGACATCATTATGTTTCAGTGGGCAAGCCTGGCTACAGGTGCTCCCCTGAGGGCCTCAGGAGGTAGCTCAGACACAAAAGCTGTCTTTTCTCTAGAGTTCCGGGAGTGTCTCTCCTCCTCAGGCAGGTGGAAATGAAATCCCACGTGGTTAGAACGACTGCCGCCTCACTGGATCAGACTACTTTCGAATATATTAAATGCCAGAAAGATTCTGTGTGGTATTTCTGTGCTATGAAAAGTAAGTTCAATTTCTTTTCTCTCGCATATTTTGTAATTTCCAATAAGGAAAACTGAAACTTTCTTTTCTCGACTCTTAGTTTCTGTAAATTAAACGTACAAACATTAATACAGAAAATAATTTTACGCCTAAAAAAATCCAGAAACACGGTGTGTAGCATTTCAAATATATCCATAAAGCAAACAAGACAGCTTAATTGTTTCTCCAAGGGAAGGAGCTAAACCCGGAATGAATTTGGTTCAGCCTATGAAACAATTCGTTTGCTCTGCCTAATTCTGGCAATTAAAGTTTTCCCAGACACAATTAACATGCAAATCAGAAGCAGAGGGGGAGGGAGGGTATTGTGTGTGGACTGAGGAAGGGGGGAGGCGATAAGTGAAGATGGAAAGGAGCTTCCGAGGCTAAAAGCAGGGAATCCAGCCCCCGGCGCCCTTCTGCCCGACCGGGTCTGCCTCCTGGGAGGGGTAAGGGTGATGCAAGTAAGGTCCTCCACCCGCCGCATAGCAGCTTTTTAGGTTGGAGGTAGCTGCGGCAACTGTGGAGGGGTTTTTGAGAGGGGAGAGAAACGAGTTGCTCTACGGCTGTTCAGATCCCGGGTCTTGTTTTCATTGCTGGATTAACCCAGACTGCACCAAGCTAGGAAAAGTTAAAAAAAAAAAAAAGAGACACAAACTAAAAGTGACTGCAGCCGGAGGGCACATCTCTCCCCAGATTTGAAGGCATCCGCTGCTAGGTGCCTTCCGCTACTCGCAAAAGTAGCGGCCACAGAGCGAGATGCCTTTTCTGTGATAAGTGGGTGGTGAAGGAGAGGTAAAGTTACATGATTCAGGCATGGAAGATGTGCCTGGGAGGGTCGGGAGGAGACAGCCTGCTTGGTTGCCTTACCTCGCCTCACCCCCTGAGGACCGTGCGGTGGGGTGGTAAGCAGGTGTGAGTTGGCAGCCTGCCTCTTACTCTGCAGTGCCTACAGACCTGACTGCAGACCGCTCGCTCTGGCTAGTAGCGGGCCTGCAAGCGCTAGTTCCAAGGCAGCACTCTTCCAAGTCAGCCAGTTTGCTTCGGAGAGGTGAAGTGAGCGGCCCCTGCTGACAGCTTGAGATAACAGCAAGGGAGTCCCTTCTTTACTGTGCGCCTTTTGCAAGGGGGAGGGGGAAGTTGTTTAATTTCCCCTTCCCCCTCTTTATTTCCCTAGCCTCCACCCTAATTTTTCTGTGTGGCTTGGAGGCCAGAAGATGGAAAGGCTTGGAAAGAAAGAAGAAGGGAAAGTGAGTTGTAGTACATCGGCATCAATACAGGTATGCTTTTGTGGGCCCACAGTCTTACATTGATTAGCCTGATTAGGTAATTTACTCAAAAACACCTACGTTGAAAAGTTTCTTTGTAACTCCTTTTGGGGTACCTGTGTAGCTGCTTTCTTCTGCTGAAATACAACACCAGGCACTATGTTTCCCTTAGTTTTACCTCCCCCTATCCTTCACTTCCCCTACTCCCACTCAACACCTCAGTGTTTCTTATGGCTTGAAGAGTACCTGGGTACAGGCACCTTTTCTTTTCTTTTTCTTTTTTTTTAAAGAGAGTATTTGATAGACGCTGAACAATCTATGAAGCTCCTCGTCGGAAAGCCACCCCGTACCCCACCACAGAGGTCCCATGCTGATGTGAGAGGTTGCAGCCTGTGCAGTGTGTTAGGTTTTGCGAATATAAGTAGGGTGGGGATTTATCGGCCCTCCACTTGTTGGCGCAAGCCTCGAACTTTAATAAGGAGTTAGCGATTTTAAGTGTGAGGGGTGGAGGACTTTGCCTGCTCTTCTCCAATGTAAAAACAACGATATACTTGAGAAGTGGTTAAATTATTTTTTTCTCACTGGAGCTTGTATTTTTATTGGCATTATGTGTATTTTAAGGTGTTGGTGTTTCTTAGTCTATATGTCTTCCACTGCATTTCCTAAGAAAATGCCAAAAATTTTCCGGTTGTCAAAAAGATCTTTTTTAAAAAATCCTTAACGTGCTTTATTATTATTTTCGTCTGTGGATATAGATATTAGCGATAACTTCGTATCTTCGAATGGTATTTTTATCCACATCAATTTATATACAATTCATCCGAGTATGTAAAACGTGCCTCACTTTGGGAATCCAAGTACTGATACAGTAATCAGAATTAGAAAGTCTTACGGTTCACTTACTCTCATCCTTTAAAACTTTTCCATTTAAGAAAATCGATAAGCAAATCCTTTCTTGTAACTTGTCTCCTGGATTACTTCTATTTTTATTTTTTCTGATCTGGCAAGGATCAGCAATGCTACTTCTACCAAGTGGCTGATCCTTACCCTACACCAGCACCACCCCTAGCAGATGCTGAGGTGGGGGTAGCGGGAAAATGGAAAGGTTTGGTACCCCCAAGCTCCTCTTTTGGGACCTGTTAAATATGTTTGTGAATGGGTGAATGAGGAATCCAATTGGAAGAAAATGCGGGTCTCCACGTCCGCTTCATCACTACAACACACCTCCCCCCTCAACTCCTCTCAACAACATCTCTCTCTCTCTCTCTTCCTCCCTCCCTCTCTTACATGAATACATACGCACATGCACACACGTACACTCGCACAATTACACATCCCGTAGCTTTTGGGTAGGATGAGAAGCCAGAGGAGGAAGAGTGGCATGAAGGGATTCCGCTTGCCGGAATCCAGTCCAGGATTTGGCTCCACCTCTGGAAAAAAGCAGCCTAGCTACTGACAGAAGAGTTGCGAGCAGTGGAGGGAGAGGCAGCTCAGAACTCAACTCCTAAACACAGTTCAATGACCACTTGCTTTGGGCCAGGAGCAGTTGCGCTTTTCCGCTGTGGCGAACAGAAAGAGGTGCCTGCTTAGGAGTTTCTTGAAGCGGCCAGCATCACCATCACCTTAACGGTGTCCGAACTTCTGGAAGAAAAGAGGGAGCAGGACAAGAACGCTCCCTTCCCCAATCCCCATCCCCCCAGCCTTGAAATGACTTGTTAATCGGCCGAGATCCTACTGAAGGGGACTTTACTGGAGTGAAATTACTTGGAATTTAGATTTGGAAAAGAGTTACTTGACCACTCTCCCCCTTCCCCCTCCCCCCTCCCCCTGTTTTCTTCTCCCCTCTCCCCCTTCCCCTTTTTTCCTGCCTTTGGAAATGAGCAAAGTGAATTTGTATCCCAGAAAGTGGTAACCTCTCATATTGCACCGAAAGAGTGAGTGAAGAACACATGTAGTAATGACAAAGGATTGCGAAGGAAAGAGTGGACCGCGTTGCCCAGAAAGATCCCCTATATAATGGATTACTAAATGGGATACTACATCAGCTAGTTCCGTGCTCTGGCTGCCTATACATGCACCGAAAAGGTAGAGTAACAACCCTTCTTTGCATCCCGCTTGTTGGGTGGCTCTGAAAGAAGACAACTACTGTTTTGCTTTGGCAGATCCTGAAGGAATGAGCTTAGTATAACGTAAGGTTGGATCCCGCTCCCCCCCACCCCGCCCCCGTTTTGTGATGTTTTTGTTTTGTATTTTCTATCTCGGAGCGTTCACACTGCCTGGGAGGAGTCGGAGAAGAGAGGACAAGCGCTCCTTCTGTCTATCCATCTTTGCTGTTAGCCCGGCTCTCTGAGCACCAGGTTCTCTGGCTTGGCACAGACTCCGGGTTCCCAGCCCCAGAAGGCTGAGGACCAGTGAGGGCTCCAGTGTGGAAGGCGGCAAGGCATGGCATGTATCTGTGCGCGTGGTTGGTAGTCCTCTTGGTTTCTTGCTGGAGTCCGCCCGCCCCAGTAGATTCTGACTCGTGTGACAGCTCAAAGCGATTTCTGGTGGGCTTCGAGGTAGAAACTCAGACACGATCAGGAGGAAGAATGGGGAACTGGAGAGGAAGGGAGACGAGACTTGCTTTAACCTTTGCACAGAGGAGCTAGGTTGGGAGTCTTCTTGTTAGAAGGTTGTTAAGAAGGGGGCTTCTGTAGAGGAAGTGCCAAGGCTTTTGTTGTAAGATCAGGTTTTGGGGTGGGTTCCTATGATGAGCGCACACAACACACACACACGCGCGCGCACACACACACACACACGCACACACACACAGCAAAGGAAACTTGTGATGGTTCCTCCAGTCCTTGTCTCCCTGCGTGCTTCCTTCCCTTCTGCAGATGCCGCTTCCCTTGCTCCTGGCTTTGTTTCCTGGAGTGGAGTGGAGCTGGCCGGCCCGAGCGGCGCTCTCTGAGCGACCCCCTTCTCTGGCTCCTGTTAGCCTTTTTTTTTTTTCCCTCCCCCTGCTTCTTCTCGGGAGGTGGAGGGAATAGGGCTCCTCCACTAGACTCCTTAGATCCTAGTCCTTCCAGCTTCCCACCGGATGAGAAGTCTGGGGTTGGCAGTCCGCTGCTTACCAGGCTGTATAAGGCTCTCACTGTCTGGGAAGGTTGGGAGAGGGGGAAGGGTCGTAGACCCGAGTCATTTAGCCTCTAGCCGACTCCACCTCCCTGGGCCAGTTTCTCACCCAGGTTCTGTCTCTTAAGGGGTCTGGGTTTCAGACCTCCTGCATCTCTGCAGTGGGGTGGAGACGCGAAATATAGGAGCCCCTTCCCCAGCTACAGGGGATTTGGAATCTGCCCTATGATTCTGTGAGCTTTTCTTTGGTAGTATAAACAACCGCCACTCCACCCCAGTCATCACCTCGCCGTGGTCTTAAGCTGTTAGTCTGTCCCGAGTCCAGCGCCCCACCCCATGATTGTCCTCCTTCGTCGGAGGGGCTGCGGGAGGGAGGGAGAACTGGGACTCGCCACTTCCCACCCTGTCTTTTCATTCTCCCCAAAGCGAACTTTAGGGTTTCCTAAGCTGGCTTCTTACAATCTCTTCTTGTTTTGGCCCAAGTGTGAATTGGGGAACAAGGAATGCGGTTGAAGAGGCGAAGGAGAAGTAGAAGGAAGGTGACGATTGGTATTGTTAAAGGAAACGGCCTTCTCTTGCCCTCCAGACTGGCCCCTTCCTGCTTTGGCATCCCCCTCGGGTTTGTTTGGTTTTTTTCCCCTCATCTACCACCCTGTTCCCTTCCCTTTCCAGCTCTGGGCCCCGGGACAGGGAAACCAGCAACCTGGGAAAGTTAGGTTTAAAAGCCACGGCCAAGGGTAAGGGCTGGGGTTAGGGCACAATAGGGTTTTTGTTTCGCAGTTCCTTTTAAAGGTGCTGCTTGGATGTAAATAACACACTATGGAAAGGGAGAGAAATGGGAGGCAGCGAGTACCGGTGGGGGACGGAGGGAGGAGGGGTTGGGGCGGGATCGAAGTACCTGCCAAAAGGAGCCAAGAGGAAAAGCAGCAACCCACTACCGCACCCTCCTCCACACCCTTACTCCCCCAGTATTCAGTCCTGCTGGACCTATGGGCGAAGGAAGACTGCAGGTCCCAGGGACCTATCGCCTATACAACCAAAACCCGGCAGCAAAGAGCTGGACTGGAGGCGGGGAAGGGAGTATGAGTTGGACAGAGATTCGGGATGCTGCTGGTAGTGGTGACGATGATGATGCTGATGACGATGATGAGAAGCCAGAGCTCCTGTGTGCATGTGTGCATGAGCTTAAAGCTCTCTTAGTTGAGAGTTCTGCATTAAGCACTCTGGCTGCGAATTTGTATGAGTGGAAGTAAGAACCTGAGCCTGCAAAGCCGCTTGTGTGGCATGGCTTGCTGGTGTGTGGAGAGAACTGATTGCCTAAGAGACGGAGATGAGGGGAGGGAGGAAGGGAATCAGCTGATTGAGACAACTAAATTGTTCCCATTGTCGCGAATCTATAAACCATACCTGGCCAAATTCTAGGGTCCACTTTTCCATCTTAGCATGGTGTTGGGGGACCCCAAAGGGCTTTCAAGGGGAGAGCAAAAGGTTGTTTGGCAACTTTGAAGGGCAGATAGACTTAGCCTTCAAATCTCCCTTAAAGTTATGAAATAATAACCACAGTAAGAATATAAATAAAATAACAATAAAGCTTTCTCTGCTTGCCAGACTTTACTTAGAACAATAGTTTTAACCAAGTTGAAAGTGCCTTTGCAACTGTCAGCAAATCTCCCAGCAGTGTATTTTCTGCCTCCACTGCTGGCTGGGGTTTATTTTCCGTTTGATGAAAGGAGTAAATTTGTTTTGCAGTCTCATCCCCCCCCAACACCCCCCACCCCAAAATCGGGGTAACTTATTGTGGTCTGAAGGAAGTAGTTTTTTTTTTTCTCTTATATTGAACTGGTCTAGTGACACAGAAAGATGTTGCTCAAACTAGTTGAGTGGTTGTAGATACATTAATCCTTGGTTTCAGGGTTGGTTTGTTTGTTTATTCCCAAAAGTGTAATTATGTCTGCACAGATTAACAGATTACATTGGACCTACCTGAGAAGGCTTTTTCAGGACCTACCTATTTGTCTTCTAGAAATAAAATACTTTAAAAAAAAAAACCCTACAGAATTCTCTTTGTGGTTAATGGCCCAGCTTTATTACATGAAGTAAACTTTGGTGGTAACTCCTTCAAGAACTAGAACTAATTATTACCCAGACACCCATTCACCTAAACTATATTTTAAAACAAAACTGCAGTGTTTATCACAGTTTGGCTTACCTATACTTGATGACTTTGTTCAGGTAACTTTGATGTGGATATGGAACAGGGTTATTAAGTTGGCTTAAGAGATTTGTAAGTTGGGATCATTTTAAAAATCAGACTAATAGTAGTACAAAGTGAGAATCTGGACATTTATAACCTTGCTTCTGTTTCAGGATTTTGATAAAAATGAATATAACAAGTTTCCTGTTTTAAAAGTTTAGTGGAAAAAGTAATCTTCAAAAAGTGCTACTCTTTTATGGTATCACTTATTAATAGTGTGATATCTAATATATGTGAAACAAAAAGTGAATCATTGAATACTAAACTAATAACAAAAATCCACATACATCAAATAGTTTATAGAACTTTAAAAAATCATTCTTGTAACAGCTATGAAAGAAAGTTTGAAAATTCATGGAGAAGGTATCAAATGGTCATATGTAGGCTATACATTTTCACTTAGATTAAAACTGCGTATTTTTCTTGAAGTGAAAAGTGTATGCTATCAACTCAATATTTACTAGAGGGATAATAAGCACAAATAGATGTGTGATCTTCACTTACTTGAAGAAGAAAATACGTGTTTAATGTATCTTTTAAAAAAGATGTAGCATTTGGGATTCAAATAGGATGGTATGGAATTACAGAAGTTGAGTATGCTGTCACAGAGATGACAATAAATCTCTGATATTTTTAAAAATTGTCAAAATTAAGGTCTTGAAATGAATTTCCCCTCCATGCAAACTGGCTGTGTGACTCTGGGCAAGTGCCTTAGTCTGGGTTGCAGAGAAGGTGCCTTATTGGTAGAGGAAGCTACCTGGAGCTTCCAACAATAAAGAAATAGTAGCTCTGGTTTTGAAATGTCCAAAATTTATTACAGGTGCCTGGGTAGTTGTGAACTTTGTATGTGCCTGGCATGAAATAAGGCAAGATATTTATTTTGGGTTGAATAGTGTGGTGAGCCAAATTCTTTACTGCACAGACATAGTGGTCTTGTTCTGGTCAGAGATATATAAAGGAGTAATATCAGGCAGCAATTCTAGGAACCCAATTGGACTAAGCATCTAAAAGGAAGGCATCATAGAATAAGCCATACTCATCTCAAATGCTTTAATTGGACATGTCATCCATAGCACCATAAAACCTGGGAATTATTGAACCTATTCTCCTTCTGCCCTTTAGTTCATTCCTTATCATAAACTTAGAGAAGCAATACTTCAGGACATCTACTAGAAATGTTCCTTACCCTTTCAGCATAGTTCCTGAGTTTGTCTCAAAAGAAGGAGTAGCCAAGAAAAGGTGAAACAGAAGAACTTGATGATATGGTGGTTCTGCATTAGTGCTCCTTGTGATTTTCTTAAGTCAGCTTTTCTGTGACTTAATCTTGACTATGTAGAAAAAGACTTTTCTCAACCACTTTAAAGCCAGCTTGCATGAGCAACTGAGCCATTCTCCATGGGCAAACTTCAGCTGCTTCAGGAGAATCTGCTCAGTTTGTAGAATTCAGTTTTTTAAACCTTCAATTTAATACACATTTTTTAAGTACCTATTATATACAAGCATTGTGCTAGGCTCTGGGTACACATAGACTAAAAACCATGAAACAGTCCTTCAGAGTCCAATGACAGGTTCTATTGTCATGGCTCACTAGCCCTATGTATGACTTTAGGAGCAAACCTTTATGAGCCTCAATATCTACATATAAAGTTGTTAAACAAAAACCAAATGAAATAGTCAATGTTTGTGAAAACTATAAGTTGCTTCAGTTCAATATTAA